CCACAGCCGTTGCCCATCAGGGCAGGCAGCCTTCTACACACCAGCAACCATGAGCTCTCAGCAAGTCCACCATACAGAACCTTCTCCCAGCAAAGGAGCTGATGTCTGGGGTTGTGAAAACATGGGACACACAAGAGACAATTCACCCATGAGGAGCCAAGGCAGAAAGAGGGAGAGGCCTCAGGAAGTTGGGGTCTCATGGGCTGCCACCAGTAGAGCACCATTCAGCCAGACCTTGTCACAGGCCCCACACTGTGGCTTTATATATCACTTTATATACACTACTGGGAAGTGCCATAGGCCTCCTCCTCACAAGGGGTTTCAGTCATTCATTCAACCAAATGCCTGCCTGAGTTTCTACCAGGGACTAAGGCTGACTGGGCCCCAGGGACATCCGCAGGTGTTCCAAGGACAGGTCTCCCACCTGGAGCAGCCCCAGAGCCCCTGTGAGATACATGTGGGGTAGGGAGAGAACATGCAGTGGACACAGCACAGGCCCGCCTGAGGTGGGGCTGAGGACCCTCCCACGTTGTTAGCTGGATCCCTAAATCACAACTTCGAAGCACTACAAAGTCAGCCGGAAGACCAGTCACCATCTACTTTATCCACTCTTGACTAGCTACAACTGCTGTGGATGGACGGTATCAATGTGGAGGTGACAATGGTCTTTAATCACAGAGTCAGAGACTGAAGTGAAGCAGCACACATGGAGGAGAGAAGGGACGGAGGAGGCCCAGAGACGCACAGCACGGAAGCTGCTCTCGACATCACAGACAGTCCGGTCAAAGCCAGAAAGCCTGGTTCACCTTCATACGCCTCAGCTTCCTCACCTGTGAAACGGGACTAGCACCCACTTCATTGCTAACCAAGATCTCCATTAAGGGTAGCTGTGAGCATAGTTATTACTGGAAAAAAAATGTCCTAATGAGAGGCTGTCCAATGGGCTGAGGAGCCACAGCCTCTTAAGGCAATTCCAGAGTCTCTGCTCAAGGTTTTTGGATTGAATTTAAACTACCCACAAGTGGCCTACACTCCAACTTTTGTAAACTGCCATTTCCCCTGCCTCCCCTTCCTTGAATGACCTGCACCATGAAGTTCCCTGAAGGAAAGCCTAGGCCAAGCCCAATTTTCACACTTTTTATTACAGAAAACTTCAAACACACATAGAAGTAGAGAGAATTGGCCGGGCACAGTGGATCACTCCAGTAATCCTGGCACTCTGGGAGGCCGAGGCAGGAGGATCGCTTGAGCTCAG